TGGTATACTCGTTTGAGATTTCTTTGTGGATTGGCTGATATTTTCGGTAGAAGGAAGAAACTATAGGGACTGGTGTCCACATATTTAGTACTTAGGGGCTTGAACAGTTTTGGTTCGATTTAGAATACTAAAAACATTTGCTTCCAGCAAATTTTTTTTTTATAGCATTAGCGATTTAGGAGATATGCACATTAAACCTATTAGAGGCGGGACCACGCCCACTTTAAAAAAAAAATTTTAACTGCAGATGCTCCTTCCTAATGTGATCCTGTGTACCAAATAACAGTCTTGTATCTTATTTCGGAGCTTAGTTATGGCAATTTATTTGTTTTTGATTAATGGCGTTTGTGGGCGTGGCAGTGGTCCGATTGCGCCCATCTGCAATACCAACCGTCTCACGGTACCAAGAAACATGTCTACCAAGTTTCATAAAGATATATCAATTTTTACTTAAGTTACAGCTTGCACGGACGGACAGACGGACGGACGGACAGACAGTCACCCGGATTTCAACTCGTCTCTTCATCCTGATCATATATATATAACCCTATATCTAACTCGATTAGTTTTAGGTGATACAAACAACCGTTAGGTGAACAAAACTATTACACTCTGTAGCAACAGGTTGCGAGAGTATAAAACTAAGAGAGCCTATTTTAGCTTTTATTTTATTGGAAGAAAAAACAACTAAAAAATTAAAAGATTGTCCACTTGTTGTACCAGGGGAATCATATGTGAAATTTTACCTGTATACTTGTATACACGCTTACTTTACAGTTTATATCACATTATCGACTGAATAAAGATGCATTTGGGTGTTAAATTATGTTTATTTCGGTTTGTAAATCCTCTTAAAATACCATGATTTTTTCCATAAACTCAATAGTTATGACATTTTTTGTTTCATTCTTATGTTTTCCCCTATAGAAATAATGATAGATAAATTAAATCGTAACAATAATATAAACTAATTTCTTAACTTACATTTCAACTGTTAGTGACTATCGTCTTGATAACTGATAACAAAACCGTTAAAATTGGTTTTCGTGACACCCAAAACCGATGCAGTTTTTGTTTCGAACTCTGATTAACTTATATAATTGGGCATAGGCTCAATTAGTTTTAAAACCATTTTTATACCCTGAACAGGGTATGCTAAGTTTGCCACAATGTTTCCATAAATTCGTTACCTGGTATAGTTTTTGCCCGAATTGGATAAGTTCACGAACTGCCACACTTCAAAAACAGTATTTGTGTAAATGTATCTGGATACATTAATTGGTGCTTACTTTATATACTAGAAAATAAAAGAATCATATAGAATTTAAAATTTAGTTATATAAGAAATAGGCGTTGTTGTAGTCCGATTTCACCAATTTACGTTGAAAGCAGTCGATCAGAACGCAAGATATGGGTTTTCAAATAAATGTGGGCGGTGCCACTCCCATCGTAAAATTTTCGGACGAGAGGATTTGTCTTACGTGAATTTGGGTGATATAGCTTGAACGATTTAGGGGATATGTACATTAAACTTATTAAAGGGCGAGCGCACGCCGACTTTTAAATCTTAATTAGGTGCGTACTTTGCGTAGCCCATTTACGAATCAAGGAACATGTGTACCAAGTTTCATTACGATATCTCAATTTTTACTCAAGTTACAGCTTGCCAATATGTCCAGACGGACGGACGGACGGACGGACAGACACTCACGCAGATTTCAACTCGTCTTTTCATCGTGATCATTTATATATGTATAACTCTATATCTAAATCGATTATTTTTAGGTGATAAAAACAACCGTTAGGTGAGCAAAACTAATATACTCTGTAGCAATATATTGCAAGAGTATAACAATTTGTTTGGGAAAATAATATTTTTGTCAGAGTACCGCGGTGATTACCTTGTCGTTAAATTTAATTTTAAGTACTATCTTCTTTAAACCAGTCAGTATTTCCCGTAGAAGAGAAGATGTGAAACCCCATACTTCAGCAACTACTCAACCAAAAACATTGATGCCCGACATTCTATTGACATCGTTATTTTACAGTATAAAAATGCTTGTTTGTTTATGACGTGAAAAGTTTTTTTCTGGCGATTTTTGCATTGGAAAACATGAACAACGAGTTTGTTTCAACTTTTGCGCTTACAATGGAATCACGGCTACGGAGCTGTTAAAAATGCAGCCGAAATGTTTTGGGGTACTTTATCACAAGTATTTGATTAAAATTCGCCAGACAAACTGTTCGCTTTGTAAACAAACAACCAAACACACACTAATTGACATACGGGCAGCAAACTTCACATGAGGATAAAAAGGTTGTGCCAGAATGAGAAAAAATATTTATCGATTGAGTTTGCGCGCATTTATATTTATGATCTTGAGGGCATATACTCCTTTTTCTCTTAGGTTTTGAGGTATCGATTTGAAATTTTTCACACGTCCTTTGCTCTTAAGGAAGCTGGTCATTTATAGGAACCGCCGATATCTCAGATTACTATTGAGTGTATCTGCCATATCAAAATCAAGTTTTTGTATGGAAAACATTTTTATTTGACAATATATCTGCACGAAACTTTAGAATTTATTATTGTCCGAGGCAACGCTACAGTCTTTAAACTTTTAGATAAATTTAGGTTAGGTTAAGAGGTTGATCCTAACAGGGATCTTACTTAGACAGATTAAAATTCCGGTTCATTGTGGTACCTAAAACTTCTATATAATGGATCATAAGACCCTTACAAAATGTTTAACCTTTTATTTCATGAATGTCTATTGGAAAGTGTCCAGTAAGGACCCCTGCGTGTGGAGGGGTACATAGTACCTCTCCAAGTTCATAGTACAACCTTTTTGACCATTTTCATAACCATAACTTTATCATTTCAGTTGCATAAAAAGCACGAAAAAGTATTGAAATAAATTCATAACACAAACACGTTCACCATCAGAAATGTCATCTTGTCCGTCGGCCTTAATTAACACATAATTAATATCGATTGCCAATTTCTGCTGTCGTCTGTCTTCACCTTCACTGTTGAAATGGTATACACACACAGGCATACAGTTTATTTATCCGCGGCATTTGCCGATGTTGAAGCTTTGCTCTATTATGAAATGATTTTTTCCCACTTGGTATTGTGAAAATACTTCGCTTTTTGGCTACGCATATAATTTCATTATCTCATTGGCTACTCTTTGACACAAAATTATGACGGTTCGCCGCCAGCTATGAATTCTACTTTAAGCCTGCGAATTCTACTGCGCCCAGCAAAGGACTTAATATTGCTAAAGCATATACTTTACGACGTGCAATACACAGGCACGTAGACTTTATTATGGCGACTCAATTGTCCTGGCATTGCAACGAGAAGGATTTCTTAATACATCTTCTTTGCCATTTGCTGAATCATTTGTTGGGCTTTTTACGACAACACAATGAATGTCTAAAAACATAACGTGGACATGCTAGTTGCGTGCAAATCGGTTTGATATGATGCAAAAGTACTAATTTAATATAAAATAATAATATAATATCCGTCAACCCGCAAATATGTGTCTGCATGACATTCGAAGAATTTAAGAACGAGCAATTTTTAACTAAACATACAAATGTTTAGTACACTTCATGACTGAAATGGGGAATGAAATATAGTTTTGCACAGAACTAGTGTTAAATTTTTTTCCTTAAAAGTATTCAACTCCAATGTTAAGCTCACACTTCTATATGGCAACGAAACATGGAATTTCGCAGCCTCTAATATCTAAAGGCTGCAAGTTATTACAAATGTGTACATTCGATTATCGATATTTTCTTTATTTTGTTATGATCGGACACATATGCTTATCAGCGCTTGCATTAGGAGCCAATGTCGATTAGTAGTTTGTTTTTGACAACAGAAAATGTTAGTGTGCACTTCGATTTTTGACTTTTGAAAGAAGTGCATCAAAGTTTATGTATTCATTTTTGCGATAAAAATGGAATAAAACCAAACCGTAATCATGCCTCAACTACCGTATTCACCAGATATGACTCCTTTTTCCTATTCCCAAAACTGAAGAAACCGATGAATGGAAAGCGTTTAGCCACAATTGATGAAATCAACTCAGAATCGAAGAAAGAGCTGATGGGTATGCCGAAAAGCGCATTTCAGAAGTGCTTCGAGTATTGGCGATGCGTTGGCACAAGTGTATTATATCTGAGAGGGATTGCTTTGAAGGGAACGAAATAGATATTGATGAATAAGTAAGTACTTTAAAAAAAAATTAAAAACTAACCGTTTCCTTTAAACATATTCTGAGACGAGCTCCAGGCATAATTACCCCAAATGCTATCGACTGGAATCCACAAGGGGGTCGGCTGTAGAAGAAATTTGGACATCAAAATATTTCAGGTCCAAAAAAGTTGGAATCAAATCAAGAGGTTAACACAATATCGAAATTAATGGAAGAGTCTCATTGTGACACTTAGATACAATATATATAATAAATATAGTCCCCAAATACCAAACACAATTTGGCTTGCAAACATTTCGATGTACATACGTGGTAAGTGTTGACAAAATTTAGTAAAATTGGTCATTTAAAAAAAAACTTACATGGACAGGCCGAAAAGTGCGTTTCGTTACTACAAGTAATATACCTTCAAAAGACACATGCATAAATTTCATAGTAGTTAGCCAAATGATTCGATAGATACAGTAGTTTGGGTCGTTCGAAGTCAAATATGGTGTGTTATTGAAACACTATATTCTAACAAACAAAAACTATGCTGATGAGGAAAACGTAACAATTAATTGGCAAAGTGACGGCGTCTATATTTTGGAGTGCTTTTGGAGAAACCATCAACAGCAATAGAGCATAGTTGGAGCAATGAAAGAATTGGACTTCGAACTGTTTACGCTTCCATCGTATCTTCGGAATCTGACTCAGAGACTATCAGCTCTCTATTGAGAGGAGTTTGAAGAAAAAGATAAATCACACCACAAATACCATATAGAAATGTTGGTAGATCACTTTAATTTGTATTTCGATATAATTTCGTAGCATTTACTATAAAAAAATGTGTATTCCTTTAAAACTATACCAACTGGTACTTCGTTATTCTAATATTCTTATAATTTCCTAGGTTACCTAAAGGTCATCTTTGCTCGAACTAAGCAGCTCTTAGATGTTTTACTTTTATAACGAAACAAATAAATTAATTTCCTAATTTGGTTTTTTACCAAAATAAAACACATGTACTTATACAGATAAATTGTACTTATAGAGTTAAATTATGGAAGAGACTAACTATATTTAAGGCTATTTTACGATCATCAAATGTTTACTTTCAATACCAAATTAATGCTATTTGTTGAAAATTATAACTTAGATAACATAATAATATTCAGAAATTTAGTTCAAATTAACAAAAGTTTCATGCATTTAGAAGAGTATGTATTTTCCAAGTTAGTGTGCCTTAACTTCATCCAATGCTAATACCATGAAAAATGTATTCTAAAATTTATTCTAGGGACTACACGAATTTCTTATTTAACAAACATATTTAATGATAAATATATCTTCTTGTTTAGTCTGACTTGATAAGCAAAAAACGGTGCTGGTATGAGAAAGGTTACACCGTTATTAATTTAACAGTTTCGGTTCTCTCCGCAGTCAATATTTTGTTTAACATGGAACATAGAGGTATATGTTGGTTTTCCTCAATTTAACCCTTTCAGCATCGTTGTAAGATTATAATGACCACAAAAAGACGCATTATAACATAGTAGGTAATAGGTATGTAAATGAAAAAAAAGTATGAATAATTATCAACAAATTTCCAAGATCTCAATCAATTTTTAAACTCTCACCGATTGTATACAATTTAATGATAACAAGGAGAAATCTCTGGAGGCAGTAAAAAATATTACTTCGTGAACAACAGACGGACTTTAATATTTTAAAACAAAGGATTTTATCGTTTACATGGTTTTCCTAATTTCGATTCTTCAACTATATGGTATTTTCCTCGGTATAATTTTCAACAAACTTGTATCATAACGCAAACATGCTTAGTAGGTACAATTATATGGTCAACATATAGCTAATTTATGATTAAGATTTGCGAATAATACAATATGCATCTATACAAATATATATATTTCTTTCTTGATAAATATATACATATAAGTACTTTGAATCACAACTTAAATGCTTAATAGTCGCCTGACTGTACAAGAGTATTTTTGTTAGTGTTTGAAGAGCGAGATAGCAATTTTGGCTTCTGTCTCAGGCCATTTACCACACACAAGCCATTACTGTTTAAGTGCAACTTATAACACTAAACACATATAAAAGCTACTTATACTATTATAATAATACTTGTACATACTGGTTATTAAAGCCTTAAATTATTTTGAAACATTGTACAATGGCAGTATGTACTTCATTAGAGACAGGCAGGTGATATCGACATGAGTAATATCCTCGAACATATATAAAATATTTCCTAAACAGCGAAAATACTGTTATCTGCAACAACCTTCATACACACACTATTACGTCTGCGTGCTCATATCGCGCTGGCGATATCTCCTATAGTTACACCAGGCATCCAAGGCGTACAGGCAGAATGCAACATAGCCGAAAAACTGTGGAGCAAAAATATGTATAATTATTAGTGCTTGTATTTTGAAATGATTATTATATATGTATGTATGTGTATAGGCACCGCTGCAATGGAGTAGGTCACCAAAGCCAACGTTAGCGCGGCAGAAGCGGCAAGAAAACACAGCACTGCCAGTGTGGCATGAAGATACAGCTCAAACCTGGTTGTATTGCAAAAATGCCGCCTACAACGACGAATTTCACAAAAATTGTTCAAAAACACCAGCGCACTGCCGAGGCAGGCGAACACCATTACACACATATAGATGAGGCCGCGCAGATTCGTCACTGGCGCCGTGCTAACTGCAATGCATATAATGCCAGCCACGGCAAATAGCTACGAGATGAACAAAATAGGAGGAAAAAATGTGTAGCCAAACATAAAAAAATTTTCTGAATCATAGATGCGTTGCGCTCACTTACCATACAGAGCAATTTAGCTAAACCGGAAGTGCTTCGGACGTAGAGTCGATCGTAGCCGGATGTAGAGAACATTTTCTGTGTATGACTATTGTATATATTGAAGCGTTTTTACTGCGTGTGGAAGCGAACACTTTGCTTGTTTCAACTGACTTTTTGATTGAATACAAATGTCTACACTAATAATACGAGTTTTATTTACAAAAAATATTTATCCAACTGTTATTTATTTCTTAATCAAATACAAATAAAAATATTTGTTGTTTTCCGTTTGCCATATGCTATTGTAGTTATATTTCGTTTATCTAGAATAATTTTGTTGAAATATTTTATATAATATCATTCTGCAGTCTTATCAAATTTTGGAACACTCGTATTCTTCGCAGTTCGCAGCAAAATTAAACGGCACAGCCGGACACCAGTCGGCCGCACTTATAAAACGATCGACGGCAACTGCCCGGCGAAGTAGTATTACTCACTCATCTCTGTTGATGATTTTCTGTTGGTATAGTACAAATTGAAGTGTACTATTTTACATTGTTCGTTTTCTTAAAAGAAATGCGCTCACTTAATCGCATACAAAAGAATTAAAATCGAAATGCTTTTTTAAATGTATGTGCGTATTTAATGGGCGTAGAATAATGCGCATAAATACACATACACACGCAAACAAACAATCGTTTTGCTCGTTTGTATCATAAATGCCAACTTTCACGAAGCTTTTCAAAGCAAACCGCTTTTGTCGCTTATCAAATTTGGCTCAGCTATAATACAAACAAATTCACACAAGCTAGAGAGTGGAGAGGCACTCACTCTACTCGCCAATTCTTGCCGCAGCTCTTGTGCGCTTATTAAACGTCGATTGAAAATACTGAATTGTTTCATTTTAGAGTTACCAGCTAAAATGTTTCTCTTATCACCACCATATTTGTCACACACATTTGTCAGGTTGTGGACTTTCCACACTCACAATTTGATATACAGAGAAGATTCTCAGAGCATAATCACATGCTAAATAGATGTGTAATAATATTTTCGAGATATTTAAAGCGCGCAGACATGTACAAGGAAAACTTAAGAGTTATTGCCGAGATAATCTCTTTATATATGAAAATATACTTTATCAAACCATTTTCAACGTGGCAGTAGGAAAATTATTATTATTTAACTTTAGTTAGAGTTAGTATGAATTCCTCTGTGTTCCGGGGAATGCAAAATAGAGCAATTATCCTAAAAGTAAAAGTCGTACAATATTTATTACATCTTCATAAATAATCATCATAATTTTAGATATTCATAAATCCTTTTTTTTCAACTATCTTCTTGTATTATTCTACCCTAGAAAAGAAAATGTTCCTATAAATCAGAAAAAGGATAGTATTAGGCCATATTTCCATCAACAGCTGTAACAGTGTTTTTTCAAAAGCTTCCTTTTCGAAATCCTGGATCCCCCACTGATTTCAAAAAATAATTTCTATTCTTTGACTGACTGCAGTTTATATTGCTATTAAAACAACTTTCCTAAGCCAAATGGAGGAATAATTTTTTTTATTATAGACGAGGGCAGATATTTTTTGAAAAGAAAATAACTCACAGTAGTAGCGATCCTATCGATCCAGCGATCCATCGGAAACGAAAGATAAAATATCAAACGATTCAAAATTGCTTATTTTCCCGCTGCTACTATAAAATAATAGGTAGATGAAATAGAAAAAGCAGTTAAGATTCGTTTTTCAGCTGTTTAGTGGGGTCTGTTTTTGCATTTTCTGAGAAAATTTACCATACTAATGTTTATAATTTTTATATCAATAGAAAGAAGAGGTTCAACCAATTTTTAAACCTTCTTGAACTTGAACGTTTTTGATTGAAAATTGGTATTTTTTTCGATATTAGGGTAAAAAATAATTATTTTAATTTCTTTAATTTAACTATAAATTTCTTTCTGTTTTTATAATTTTAAAGGCTTTCTGCACTAGTCTATTACTGAATTTTTGATCCAAAAATGTCATCCGAACATTAATACTCAGCTACAATTTATTTTATATGTTATGAGACATTTCACTCCGTTTTAAAAGTGTGTACTGAACGATTATTTCTATTGTGAAAAATTATTTTTATAAACTAAGCGTCTCCATTATTTTTCTTATAAAATGAAAGCTCACCATAAAGCACAGTGAAGAGAATCATCTGGTCACCTTGCAGTAAGCCCTTTTAAAGTATTAAATGCGCGCACAAATACTCTTGGAAAATATTTACGTTCATGTTTAACACTTAACATATGGTCTTGTTGTTTACTTAATTCTTATAAACAAATACTTAAATAAATAATAAAATTATACTTGTTCGCGATACCTTAAAAAGTATTCTACTTAGCTAGTTTAGGTTATTTTTTATAGAATGGGGAACATACACATACGAAGAAATATATGTAAAAGCTCAATTTTTTTATATAAACATTCTTAAGAGTTTTGCCATACAGCGTTGCACATTTTATTCAGCAAGTGGCATAGAGTAATCAGTGTAGTATCTTGATAAGAATAATTTTGACTCGTGATACTCGTAAAACCAGAAATTTGGTGATATACTTAAAGTATGTAAATACCCCAATTTATATTTATTATATCACTCTCCAGAGTTAAATCGTCTTAATGCTCTTAAATAAATTTTATATAAGTTTTTGAACCCAACTGTCATATATGATATAGTAAGTATTGAAGTCAAACAGACGAATATACCATACAAAATGTACTATATATTGTATGTTAGATCTATGCTTGAACCTGAGATCCGAGTTTAGCTGTTTCATAAATATATGAGTATCATGAGAAAACTAAGGGTCAGACTGTGTTAATATTCAAGTAATTTTACTACACATATATTTGTATCTACAAGTATATATATATATATATATTATATATTATATATATTTAGATTGAAGTGTTCATAAAAATTGTTTCCTCTGTAAGCTATCAATTATTTGTGTAAATGTCTAAGAAAATATCTATACTTTACTGATTATTTATCTGTCAAGGTTAATTATAATCGGAGTCTACGAAAAGTTTAAAAATACATATATATATATAGATAAATAATTATATATATAGATAAACAATCAGTAAAGTATAGATATTTGCTTAGACATTTACACAAATAATTGATAGCTTAAAGAGGAAACAATTTTTATGAACACTTCAATCTAAATATTTTTCAGTCCAAGTTGTCATCTTTCAAAAAAGTGAAGATAAACAATTAAAGAATTTAATTCACATCAAATATGGCTATCAAAGACAACGTGTACGCCTTTTATTGAATAAGTTTTAGATTTCGTTTTATTAAAAAAAGTTTACGAATTGCCATCTATCTAAGTCGGTTGAATTGAAAACAAATATTGCCAGAATTTTATACAAAATATTTCAAACCGAAAATAAAAGTATTCTTGCTTGAAAATTTTCGATACAATTTTTTAAATTGGAAATTATATTTGGTGTCTGTATTATTTGCGTTGGATTTTGTTAAGTGTTTTGATCTGTTGACCTCTTAATTGAACGTAATAATTCTATATATAGCCATATGCACATATAATAATGATATCAAACAATTTACAGTTCAAATTCTAGCAGTCTCAATTTACTTTCGGTCCTTTACAGACAAGTGAATAAAACTGTAAACAACTGTGGCAGATATCTAAAGAGTATAAAAATAAAGATTGCTGAAGATATTTAAACTGAACTTTAACGAATATGAAATGTAGACCGAAACGCACTTACTTCGGGACTTTTTTAAAATATATATAGGTTTAGCATATTTGCTTAAATAGTATTTATGGTAAATATTTTCTCTAGAATTGTTACAGGATCTACGAAAAAGCTAGTGTAGCTTCAAATATATTTTCCAGTAATATGAAATGCAGCTATACAAGGTGTTTTCTAAAAACTTTCCGAACTTTGGATATCATCATAAAATACTCCTTTCATGTTGGTCTTCAGTTTTGGAAATAAAAATAGTTTTGTTTTTTACAACAAAAACTTGTTTATTTCTTTGGGCTTGTGAAGTGGTACATTATTGTGCACTAAAAGTAGCTGTTTTCCTGTTGGATATTCCAGTCTAATACGACCAATTATTTTCCACAAACGATGCAAAACGCATAAATATTTAGTATTATCCATTAACTGTTCGATATTCTGGAACAAATTCCTTTTGGACAATACTCTTCGAATCATAAAAAGTAATCAGCATTGTCTTATTCGAGACGTCTGATAACTCATTTTTTTGGTTTCGTCTCGCTTTTGTATTTCCATTCAGCAGATTGACGCTTAGTTTCAGAGTCATATATCAAACACTATATCTCATTAGCAGTTATGAACAAGAAAATCTGGATCGTTTTCAACAATGTGTTCACACAAGCAATATTTTGGTTTTCATTTAATTCATGTGGAACAAACCACGCACAGACTTTAATTTACCCAAATCTTCGGTTAAAACTCTGCAAATAGTGTTTTTACTCGTATTTAATCCCTCAATTCTCGTAGTACTTTTTTTTGCACATGAAGACTCATCAAATTTTGAATGTACTAGAGCCACTAAACAATAATATAAGAATGGAAAAAATTGACCCTTCAGGTTTTCTTGTGACATCAGTTACATTTAGAGAAGTTATTGGTTTATATAAAAAAAATATTTATGATTTTTGTTAATATTTGGCTTCTGGAAGGCCTTTTTTAAGTCTCCAACAGTAATCTGCTAGCATTCCTGCGCTTTATTTCCCTTGATAGCGCTTCTCCATTAAGGACACTATCTGACGAAACCTCTCGTCTAATTTGTCACACACAGCAGCCAACTTTTTCAGAAAGAAATCTAGATGGGAGTGCAGCAGAGAGTAAAGCTCTTGTCCCTTATCAATTGCCGTATTTGTGGACCTACAAATAATCGTTCTTTAATTTTTGGCTGAGCGGAATGGGTGATTTCTCTTTCAGTTATACAAATCCACTGCCATCTCTAGGCATAGCTTTTACAAAAAGTGAGTAGTGTGTTTGGACCTGGTTGTAATGCCTTTTTTGAGTTAAACAAAAATAACAGTCACTTACAAGATCTTGTGGTTCGGTCCAAATTATTGATATATCAAATGGCCAATGTCATTTATATGGAACCCAGGATCTCTCTTGATTCCTCAGGAAATCCAAAATGGTCTAAATACCACTATTCAATAAATAACGTGAAATTACGACGCAGAGATTTCAAAGATAATTCTTCACACACATAACAAAAAGTGTCGGGGTGATTAGAACACGTTCGTTACATGTTTACGATGTTACGAAAGTATATATGAAGTAAGTTAGTCGAATCTCACAAAAAAACTAGACGTGATTGAAACTAAATTATTATTGATTGTTGCTGAGGGTTTAGCCCACAATTCAGAAAACTTTTGTTTTAGTGTTTAGTGGTATTCGAGTTACTTTATTGAAAACATAAACATTTATTTGTTGTTGGAAAAACATTTTGTTTTGTTTTTACTTCGTTTTCTACTCGCTCCCTTATGATTTTTCTGTAAGTAATCAAAGTCATTTATACAAATTGGTGAATCAATAAATGTAAACGCAACTCACTGATCTTTCATTTTTTTGTTTTGCTTCGAAAGCCAATTTCAGTAAATTAAATTGTAGAATTTCACTCCTCCTAATTTGTATAAATCCTGCCACCGAAGCCGCGAAAACTAGGCAATAGCTAGTAATAGCGGTAATACTATAAAGAGTGTAGTGCTTGTTTTTCCAAAACTGTTTATTAAAATAAATAATACATATTCCGAAGAATCCTGTGACCTGTGAATAAACAATAAACAATATATTTTTTAATTTGTTTCGAATATTCTATGTATTGTAGATACATATATGATCATTTGTGTTTTTTTTTTGTTACTGAAATATGATTTATTTACTAATATTATTAATTGATTAAAAATCGATTTTTGAATAGGTGACAATATTTCCAACTATAACTCCTTAAACCTCATTGTTTTAAGCTTATATTTTAATAATCTATTCATTTTATGTATGAATGAAAATTTTAAAAATGCGGCAACGATAAACAATATGTTTTCAACTACAATGTCTGTCATTCAAACTGTCTGATGAAAGCAACATAAAGAGTATACTTATATACTATTTGGTATAAGGAATGCATCTGTGAAGGGTACCATAGCTTCGGTGCAACCGAAGTAACTTTTTTATACTCTTGCAACATGTTGCTACAGAGTGTAATAGTTTTGTTCATCAAAGGTTGTTTGTAACACCTAAAACCAATCAAGATGGACACAGAGGCTTATTTATTGTATATAAGTGATCAGGATGACGAGAATAGTTGAAATTCGGCTGACCGTCTGTTTGTGCGAGCGATAAAGTGAGTAAAAGTTATAATATCGTGATGTAATTTTGTTAACAGATTTTGAGATGGCCCTAATCGAATCATTTGCCACGCCTACAAAATCCCATTAAGCGAAAGCTTATGAACTAAACGCCAAATTAAAATGCACAACTGTTGTTTGATACAATGGATCCCAGTACGTGCAGATTATTTTTAAAGTGATCATGGACCGCTCCCTCACAGGTTTAATGAATATATCTAACACACCTCGTAAGCTATACCAAACTAGCTGGCTAAGAACGAATCTTTTCGGCACCGCTTTAAACATTGAGAAAGTTTTGGTGATAACCACGCTAACTATAACGATTCCCGGTAACGATTATGTTGAGAACTACTAAAATAGTGCTAACTTATTTAATAAATACACCAGAATAATTAAATTTCACTCCGAGATGGTATTCAGAGGTCTTTGTCGAAATTAAACAACGGACGTGGCATCGTCCAACTGAAGATGCAATTCTAAATCTCAAGAACGACTCGACCAATTTCAATCAAATTCTTATATTACATTGTAAAATGGTTGAAATCCGCCGTAACATAATTTAAAATTCCATCTCATTCTTTCACTTTACAAATTTAGCCACAATTAAGATATCAAGACAAAATTTCCCACAAATGCCACCTCATGACTAAAAATTGTCAAAATCGGACCATAACTTTTTAAGGCCCCCAGAAATCGAATATGTGTCCCAACAGTCCCAAGGCTGATTTTTTCAAAGATAATCTTTTTCTGATAATCTTTAATTAACATGATACAATTTTATAAAATAGAAGAAAATAAATTTGAGTAAATATCAGAGGAAGATTAGAAGATAACTAGCACACATTAACCGATATATAAATATATAAATATATACATATATACATATATGTATCTAAGTAAGTATATAGCAATCATTTCTTACCAAACTCGCGAGTTTTAAGAAATCGCAAAAAAAGTGCAAGACACTGTTGGAAACAAATGGTTTTGACGTTGTTTTCGAAGCTGTTGTTTTTGTGTTTGCAGACTGCCGACAATCCGGTAACTTCTTCACTTGACAACTCGTAGGTGGTGACATTGTCACAAACAAGCGGAAGAGTTTCGTATAAAGATTTCCCTCTAGAAAGTTGCACGTGTTCACAGTCGCTCGGAAAGCCAACTGGATTGTAGTTTTTTAATTTATTTAATGTATTACACATAAATACAAATACCGCTATGAATAGCTGTACATTGTGTAAGAATTAAAAATACAAAAGTTATTGTATTTTTGTGTACTAAAGGCTTGATTTGAAATGCTTATCATACACATACTTCTACATATGCCTAAGTAAGAGAGATTCTTGCACAATTACATATAATATACATATTTACTTTGCGGTTTTTTATATTTAAAACTTCTTAAATATGTTTTCCATTATATGATTTTATATTTCGAAATTAAATATACGGCTGTATGAACATAAATTCAATATATTCAAGAAATTTGACATGTATAATTATACAAGGCAACGGTACAATTTCCGAACAATTTGTTGTGATTTGATTTCTGTACCTGTTTTGTTGACCTCATATAGAGTTCTGGTAGTTTATTATTTCTTTTTATACGATGTTCACCAAAGTAAAACGGTTCCATTAATTTTCCGAATAATCTTTCTCTTCAACAACTCAAAAGCCTCTTATCAAAATTTACCTTCGTCCACTTTTTGAAACCTTATATAAGAAGAAGATAAGAACGGGCATTAAGATACATATCATTTTCAATTCTGATCAACTGATGTACCGATATCAACTAACACAGTTCAATTCATTACATTTCAAGTTGTTTACAATTTTTATTTTTATTTTAATAGCAACAAAGAAGTCTAAAGTTAATCTCTTTACTGACCCCGCTTTCTGGAATCAAATAAGCAGAATTATCTACAATTTAAAAATTATGGCCCTCAATACATTACTGCTAATAAAAGAACTGATAAGAGTTGACCGAGCTGAGAACACCACGCAATGAATTCATAGCGGAAATAATCCAAGTTTGCTGATCATTCCATACAAAAAAAGTGTGTTTAGTTTTGAATTCGAATAAAATCGGGATATATATTGAGGGTTATGTCTGATATAGAATATACGGTACTTCGATACCATCAGGTGCCAAATCAAAAATATATATACACAAAATTCATATCAAAGCTCAGTAGATTCAGCGAGAATACCAACCGGGTAGTGGGTAGTACTACTTAAGGACAGTAAAGACGGAAATAGGGTTTGTAGGAAAGGACTGTGAACAGCTCCCACGTCAGTCAACAATAACTTCACATTAATGGCTAGTGGTGAGTTTGGCTCGATGGTAACAATTCTCCAGGAGCGTTTAAAGATCTGTTATAATCGAACAACTTATTATTTCATGCATGATATCTTTCTGGCCAAGGCTCGAACGGAGCAAATATTTTTATCAAAATCGAACAAACAGTAGAGCCCTAGGGAGGTGGAAGCATTAGCAATTACATATATTAATTTCAACGCCAATGTGGTTTTGAAATCCATAACAATAAATCTCCTAATTCGTTTCATTGGAATTTTCGTGTTCATTCCGCAATAGAGAAATTGTCACAGAGATTTTTCAGGGAGTTAAGCTTACATTTTAATTACTCTTCGCGAGTTTCGCAATTTGTAGTTAATTGTTATTAAAGAAACCATGACAGTTACCCTAGAGTAGTCAAGCACTTTGGCTCTCACAGCCTAAGTAAGTGTAATAATGCCTCAAAGCTTGAACTATGACTTGACAAAACAATAATTACCAATTAATATCGGGTTAATAAAAGAAAATTTATTATAGTTGAATGACGCCCCCCGAATACATAAATGATTGATTGAGTAATTGTGGTGTGGCAATGTAAAGATCGGCAAACGCGAGGCTAACACCATAATAAATGTTATAGTGAAGAAGCGATAATAAGGGTAGCACCTAAGAGAATGGTTTACCACAATAAAAGTTGTACAATAAAATCAAAGATGCGAAAAAATAGGCGCCAATTAAGTGCCGACGAATGCGTACTTACAGTAATGGTAAGTAGCGTAAAATCGCACGAGATGTCAAGGCAACCACAGGAACATAAAATATTGAGCGAGTGGGTGGCATGTGGATAAGGCCATGCTTAAGTGCCATGCTTTTTACTATTTTACATAGATATGCTTGTGTAGGCTGCCATTAAGGGCTTTGCGTAGCTAATATCGATTAAATGTGAATTTGATTTGGCGCAAATAATTGTTTAATTAATTTAATTGATACGTCTGTATGTGTCAATGTACTCGTAGCACGGAGGTAGGGGTAAGTGTCGAAACAACAGCACGATTTTATTGACAAATTTACACAACACCCTGAACAGGGCAAAACCAAATGCGGCTTCGGCTAGCATTCCCTAGTCTATATTTGGCAGCCTATTACTGTTTGCCGCTGCAGCAAGGCACCACCCGTGCTGCTGATAATAACAATATCTATTATGCTTGTTTACTGGGCTGTGTGAGTGGCATGCTGGTAAATAGTTGTGAGTAATGAGTTAATTTGATTATATTTGCATTCACTTAGTCGGCGAGTACCCTACGCCGATGTCTGGCCTGTTGTCCTTCGGGATGCTGTGGGATTTCAGCAATAAACGCCTTTGTCTGCACATCTCAGCAATTTAATTTTGACTTAAAGTTTGACAGACTTTAATTCTCCATCAATTCAACCTCATCACACCGGCTTCAGCGTTTCTACTAAATATACTAGTTTTACTAACGATGTTTACTGAGATAATGAGATTTCATTGTTCCTCTGTATATACATATGTATAATATATAAGCATGTAAATCTTGTTCCTTCGCCATTAGATTTACCTTTGAATGAATTGTTTAATTTTGCGCGAATTTCTTTTCAACAAATCAACGTGTTTGTTTATTGACTGATTTCACCTAAATTGTCAATTAAGTATTTGAATTGTTTTGCAATTGGCGAAATTTTGGTTCGTCAATTTGATGCGATTGTTTACCTGAAATTAATCGGTGTAATTAAATGACAAAGAATTTGCAAAGTTGTTAGCATATTATTTCTACTCTGGTTGTTTATTATCCAAATTAAGAAAGCACTGTTCATGGAATTATTATATTTCAAGGATTGTGGTCGAATGTAGGCTATCTCTGATGGTAAGCAACTCGAAATATAGAACTTATGTGAAAAATGTTTCATTTGTAGACGTTTCTTCACTTTTCAAACAAATTGCACAAGTTCCATATACAACTAATCGATAAATAATTGAGCTATATATAGCAACATTTTCCGGATGACAAGGCTAATTGATTCCCGGATTTCTGTCCATGCAGACGAGAAATCGAGTAAAAATTTAAATATTTTGATGAGACGAATGTTGAAAGAGGTTGATATTGCAATTGATTCCCGGATTTCTGTCCATGCAGACGAGAAATCGAGTAAAAATTTAAATATTTTGATGAGACGAATGTTGAAAGAATATAGTAATATTTGGAACGGAGGGTCACAGTAGGTAAGTGCATTAGTTGTTAAAAAATTGATTTCAATAAGGTGTGGCATCCCCCCCTAGCAGTTTATGTCAAAAAAATTAAGTTAAAGAGCTTCTTGATTTACTCATTTTCGGAAAGTAATATTTCACAAGCCTTAAGTGTTTAGGTACCAAATATGAGTTATATCAGTTCATAAGCTCCTTCGCTATTAATATGATGAATATAGTGATTTCTGTTAGTTGGTCGATTTTAAAATAGATATCTCTAATTGTATTGCAAGATATAGTAATCATCATAGTAATATTTCACGTCTTTAGCTCTTACTGATTGCCAAAACCGCGCCTAAAGCCTTTCATATTTTTTTAAATACATGCATATTATAGTCTATAGATTCCATTATTTTCTTCATCTTTTGACCCATGTTATGTTTATTCACATTCTCTGCCTTTAAAGCATATCTTCATCATCTTTATCGTAAGAGCTTGAGCATATTTCGGACATTTCATTATGCTTTTGATGTGATACATGGACCTGCATCATGATATGAAAATCAACCGTAAATATTTAGACTCGATCTACTGTTCTCGATGGTTTTGCATCTGCTCTGGGAGTACTCATATTGGATTTACCCTACATATTATCTCGTGCCCCTTCTGCTTAAAAGTGATAACCTATTTTCCACAGGCAATAAAATGTTTCGTAATTTTTAACTGACCTAACAACCCAGTGCTAAAAGCAATCTACAATATGTATTATTTTCTCGTAGTCTTAGATAAGTCGTACCAACAGAGTCACACTTTATGAAGGCAGAGTAAGTCTTATAATACGAGTTTGTTCACATATTTTAATACATTTGAAACTATTTTAACAGACCAACCGATGATATTTGGAATATGTTAAGTTATATCTGGAGGAAAATAAAAATAAATTATTCGTTTGCGAAATATATTAAAACTTACGTTTCTTACCCTAATGTGTAATTTTTTACAATATGTATGGAAGTCCTGAATTTAAAAGTGGAAAAACATGTAGAACCAACACTGTCTAAAAAGCATTCATGGTTTGCAAACGCCTGACTAGTAAATCCTGGGGCTGTAAAATAAGCATCATGAGGTGGTTGTGTACCATTGTCGTGAGACCGATTGTTACACAGGGATCGACTGCTTGAGCTTCGAAAGCATCGCAAACTTCGATAGGCCTTCAGTTATCGAAAAGCTTACTTACCTGCGTAGGTGCTTCTGGGGCAGTGCGCATATGCCCAACCGCAGCTCTAATGCTGGAGACCAAGAGACGGCGTTACAAAGCAAAAAAATGAGGGTAAACTTTACAATGAAGTTTAAAGCCGGCAATAAGGCTGACTGGAAAGATTCTACGCTTGAACTACTACTGAGGGTCAGCACAATTCAGTGGTACACTGACGGCTCAAGAACATCGAAAGGCATCAGTGCAAGCACTGTAGGATCGAGCAGCAATCTTTCCATACCCATGGGATATATTTCGAGCGTATTTCAAGCAGAGGTTTTTGCTATAAGTTAGTGTTCCAATCCCAGACACTAAAAGCGGCACTAAAAGCGATCTCAGTCTGCTACTGGTGCATAGAACAGCTCAACAGCCTATAAGTTTGCAACCGTGTATACTTGATCTGGATGCAGGGGCATAAAGGGGTACCCGCAATGAACTGGCTGACGAA